TAAAAATAATTAGTCTATTAAACATTCAAATAAAATTAACTTTTTATTTTTATGTATATATAATCAATATAATATAGATATTATTTTTGGCCTCTAAATATCAAGTTTTTTTTTTTTTGAAGAATATAATATTTATATACGGCAAATGCAACAAATAAACTCACACATCCTCCTCACCTATGGTGAGGTTTGAACCTCTGACTTCCTAAAAAGACAAGGACTATGATACCGCTAGGCCAAAGGCCCTTTGGTTAAATATCAAGATTATTGTTTGTAACCTTCATTCGTTTTAATTTAATAATGGTGTTATTTTGGTGGTTTTTAGGGATGGGTTAAAGATACCCTTATTTTGCATATTTCTCAATAAAGCATCTCGTTCCATCCAGAATATGTTCTTGTCTATGATGATTTAAAGAAAATATAGGAAAGTGTTACCAATTTAAATAATGAATATGAGACTGGTTGTTTTGATACATAAATAATTAAACATTATTTTATCCAAACAGATTAATCCGAGTAAAACATTTATTATGAAATTTTATTGGACTTGTTTTTTTAGCAATAAAACAATAAGTTTGTTATAAACACCTCTATTATGAATCTCGGCCAACTTTTGTTCAAAATCCTCCATTGTATAAGTTTTGCAGGTCCTTCAAAATATCTCTCTCAATAATTCGTCTCTTTTCGTGCTAAATCATAAATTCATTTCGAGATGTCAACAACAAAGCTTGTGATTCGTGGTAGGGAATACAACTCTAATAGCCATGTTGATGAAAGCAGCCCGATCAGATATGATACACAAATTTTCTGGCTCATCGATGCATTTTTTCAACCTGGATAAAAACCATGTCCAGGACTCCCCCGCTCTTTGTCTTGCCCACCCCATAAGCAACAGGCAAAATTGGATTATTTTCGTCCATACCAACCGCCAAAAACATGGTACCTAAGTAAGGACCTTTCAGATGAGCAACGTCTATTACAATCAGCGGTCGTAAGTGATTCACGAACGATCAAATCTGTTTGGAAAAAAAAACCAACGAAAATGAATATATATATATATATATATAATGTGTATATATACATATAATTTCGACAAAGAACCAATAAGAATGTTCTTATTGCACAACCAATGACGACAAATAAACGCTTAAACCATGCCTTTTCATCCGTCTCGATCTTCATTACGGTCCCTGGATTAGCTTTTTTCCAAATTACAGTAGTACACCAGGAGTAGGTAAAATGATGCCTTCGAGAATGACATAACACTTTGCACGCTAAGCTTGCATATAACTAACTGAGATTTTGTAGTTGTTCTTCATAACGATGATGAGTTGGCTCTTGTATACTCTAGTTGTATCATTCATTGTATCTTTCAGTATATCACCCAATACCTTTTTGTTCACTTGACGGCGATTGGGATACATTTGCGTTTGTGAACATATGTATAAGTCCTTAAATGCACGAACTTGGAACAACGTCGTACCGTTAATTACGGTTGCTCTTATTCACTATTCGCACTTTTTTTATACACATTGTTTCAAACCTAGATCGTGTGGAGCGGGTGGTTTTCATTTAGTAACCCTCTTCAAGACATTTCAGTCTGAGGGTTAGTTTCAAGTCTTTTTTACACTTGAAAATTTGTCCAACTTTAACATTTTTAGAACGTTGATATTTGGCAGTCGGTTATTTAGGCTTCACAATAGGGACTCGGTTGGCAATGGAGGAGGCATGCCCCAAAATAAATTACAACCCACCAGTGCACTAATATAACCCCTACAACACCTTCTTTATCTTTCTCCTCCGCCCCTTCTTTATCTTCTGTATCTAGTTCTTTATTTTCTATATCGGGTTCGCTATCACTACTATTTGATTATAGCCCCAAATATTCATTTATATTGGGATGATACAAACAATCCCCTGAGACAACCCCATAATAAGGATCAACCGTATATTTCTCAGACGCTTTTTCAGTGTCATCTAAATTGGCCTTATATTCTTTGGCAGAAATTCAGAAATACGAATGTCATAATCAGATGGTAGATCTTGGTATTGGTACGTCGGACGATTTTCGTACGACTTATATGGTGTATTGTACGACTAATATGAAGTTTCATACATCCCCTGGCTTTAAAACAAGTGATACTGAGATTGATACGTTTCATGTGGAGTTTGAAACGGTTGATATTGAGTTTAGTACGAGTGATACGAACTGCTAGGAATTGTCTCATCACTTTGGAACGATTGGTATGAAATGAGTGGAGGTATGTATTGGTTGTAATCCGGCTCACTTTGATTTGACACATACGTAACGAGTGGAAGTATATACTAGGGGTGCTCAGCCCGTTACACAGTGACTATAATAATCTCTTGGCTTGGGTTCAATTGATTGTTTTCAACACCACGATCACAAACAAAAAATCTAAGGGCTTGAAGTGAAATATCCACACCAATAACTAGAAAATGTCTCGACAACTGAACCAGATGACAGAGATTTATATGTTAATTTAAAACTATTTTGTAAATCAGTTGAGTTTAATTTCATAGCTAAATAATTGATCAAACCTGAAAATGTTAAGTGCATCCGCAACAACACAACAATTTTTTGCGATTCTGAAATATAAACTACCATGTCATGGACTAACTATCACGAACCTCCACCAGAAACACGTACCCTCACTTTCTCAATGACAATCATTGATTCTTGAGGGTTTGAAGAAGATAAAAAAATTTATGTAAAAATAGGATTAGAACATATATGTGATAATTAGTTGTTGTACCCTAAAGCAACGAAAAATAAGCTAAAAATGGTGTAACGCGTCAATTAAGTTCACTTATCAATTGGCAAAAAATCACACCCTCGACCAACGATGATATTTCCCTCGACCATGGCGTTAGTAACCAAGATTTTAAAGACCAACGACCATACTAGCTATGATCGTAGGTATCCTCGGCAACATGACCCTCGACTTGCATAGCTTGATTGGTTTGAGCTTGGCTCCAAAGGTCAAAAGTACTAGGAGGTCCCAAGTTCAAATCCAAGGAGAAATAAAAATCCTCTTGTGGTCACGGAGGTTCAAATGCGGTGACTCTGAGCTATTTACAAATCAGATGGTCGCCCTAGGATTAGTCGGCTCGCATAGTGGGTTGGATATCCAAGTTAATAAAAAAAAATGACCCTCGACTCATGAATGAAGATAAGGTTGACGATTATATATCCACGATCGAAATTTCCTTCGACGACGATATACTAACGACTTACATTTATTACATCGATCGTTATGTATGGAATTTATTATAGGAATAAAGACGCATGCGATCATCAACTCCAAAGATCATAACGTCAAAGCTAAGATTCAAGACAATTTATTACAAACGATTTTTTAAATTCAATGCCAGTCATAGTCGACCGTTGGCCCTATCTTACGAATCAACTATAAAAGGCTGGAAGATGACTAGAAACGAGACCAGAACCCTCATGCGCAAAGATTATTCATATAAAGACACTCTCATTTACTATTTTCCACGTTCAACGCATTAAATTGCATATATCATTGTAATTGTTCCAAAGAACAACGTCCCTGCTTGACGTCCATTGTGCATCGACGATCTCCTGTATCATCCGCTGTTTTCTCCCTCGTTTAAGAGTTTTTCTGCATCACCAATTCTCTTATCTCATTATTTATTATTTTTCCTGTACTTATTTTAAGGTCGTTGATCTTTAGTTGTTAAAGTTTCAAAAACAAACCCCAAGTTATACTTGACATACATAGATGACAATTTCTCCCTTCTTAAATGGTAATTACTATAAGTTTTAAAAAATTATTCAGATTATGACGAATAAATTGAATATCCTCTTTCGAACCCACTAACAATTTCATCCTCATAAAAATAAACATCAAGACTTATTTTGTTCATTTTCCCTCCCCGTGGTTTATTAAAAATTACGGATTTTACACTTGCGGTTTTGAAATCGTGGTTCTCATTCCTATGGTTTGCAATTCATTTCTATTTCGTCTCTAAGGTTAAACACATTTTTTAAGTATAAGGGACTAGAGTAGAATGAATTGTAAACCATAAAAATAAAAAAGTAATAAAGTTAAAACTTTAGAACGAAAATGATGATTAATTATAAACTATGAGGATGAAATCCGTAATTTCAAAATTACCAAGACGAAAATAAAAGAATTTAATAAATTATAAGGACTAAAAACGTAATCTAGTCTATCCAGAAAGATATGGATGGTTCTAGTGTTTTTTTAAATAAAGAAAATATCAGAGATGATAAAATTTTAAATTCAAAAACCTTACTAAAAATTATTATTTAAAAAAGAAATGATTTTTTATTATTTTTATAAGCAATAAAAATCTTTAAAATTTAATGTTTAAAAAATTAAAAAATTTATAGAATTTATTCAATGTTTTTAATAAAATAATTAATGTTGTAATCTTAAAAGATCTTCAATGAAGATCCTTTTTCTATCACGTTACTTTCAACTCATCAAATTAAGAATCCAAAAAAAAATCCACAATAATTATTTCAAGATCAATAATTATTATATATTTATAAATAATACCAAATATTTAATTTAAAATATATAAAAAAACTTATAAATTGTTACTTCAGATCAACTTTAAAATAAGAATTAAAGTTCTTGTACAAAAATTTAAAGAGAATGAGTTTTTTATAAGAACTATCTGTAATATTATTGATTCTTGTAAGAAACTATATTTTTATAAAAGCATTTTTAACATGTATGCTATATTTTTTTTATTTTTTTTTTCAAATTAATTTTTTTTTAATTCTGAAGAAGAGTTTAAAATTAAAAATCCATGTTTTTCAGTAAATTTGATGATATGATCCCGTGCATGATAGTAAAAAGGGGAACAATTCCCTATCTACCTGAAGGCCCTTAGATGCATACACGTGTAGGGTCGTGATCAAACTCTCCTCCCCAGAAGTTTCTATATATAGCCCCCACCAATCATCCACAAAAACACCATCAAGCTTCTTCACTCAGTTCCATCAAAAACACACACACACACACACTCTTTCTCTTATCAATTCCCTTTCCAAATCTCTCAATCATGTCTTGCTGTAATGGAAAGTGCGGTTGTGGATCAAGCTGCTCATGCGGCAGCAGCTGCAACGGGTAAAACTACTTCCATCGATCGCCCAAAACTGTTATCCGATCCTTGATTTTATTGAATTTCAATTCATGTTTGCAGATGTGGAATGTACCCTGACATTGAGCAGACGACCACCACCGCCGTGATCGTTGACGGTGTTGCCCCAAAACAGATGTATGTCGATTTTGATTTTGATTATGAAAAAAAACAGATCGTGATTTTACAAGTATTTCACAGCGATTCTAACATTTATATAGTAATTTCGAAGCAAAAATCACATCTAGCTATGTCGTATGAGTATAATCATGTTTGTTACAACCGATTGCTGTGGATTCATATTATAATTATATATATTTATGTAGGTATGGTGAGGGAAGTGAGAGCAGCAGCTTTGTTGCAGAAGGTGGACATGGTTGCAAGTGTGGAGACAACTGCAAATGCAATCCTTGTAACTGTTGAGGAGGAGATGAAATCAAAATCCAAACAAGAAGCTGAGTTTGAATTATGTCTAATTATGTTTGTGTGTTAAATAAGATCAAAGGAAGCAGTTGCCGTTGGTTTAATTTCTCCGATCGACTTCAATTTCTGATATGGAGTTGAAATGGGGTTAAACCCATGGCTTCTTGGTTGCTTTATGTGTTTCAAGAAGGTTGTTATGGTTATGAATACTAGTATGGGAACCGTATGTTGTTTAGTAGCCTGACTGTTTTGATTAATAATGTGAGAATTATCTATATAAATATATATTTATTGTTAATAGAATCATCAATAAATTATATTTAAATAATTTGAAAAAATTAAATAAAATATAATTAATGAAATTTTAACATATATATATATATATTAGAAGTATATTCGTGCAATATAGTGAGATACATTGTGATTTTAATATTTTATTTTATTTTTTATCTCAGTCGATGTTATAATATGACTTTATGTGATTTTGAGAAGTCGATGATATTTTTATTTTTGAATAAAATATATGTTTGAAAATATCATAAAAATTTGACAAAAATATATCGATATTAGTATCAAATTAATTATTTGAAATTTCTTATTTTTGTGTAATTTTTTAATTTAATTTTTTCATAATTTAATTTATTACAATAACGAAGTAATTTATATTTGGTTTAATAATATAATTATTTTATAAAAATAGTAATTATTTATTTTGTTAGAACTCGATAATTATTCTAATTATATTTTAGATTTTTTATATTTTAAAATGAAATGTTCATCCTCTATTTAATTATGTTTATCTGTAGTTATTTATATAAATTCAAATATCGAGCTTTAATAAGTTGTACTTATGCATAATTACTTGTAATCTTGAATTTTATGCATTAATATACAGTACTTTATGCATAACAAAAATATATCTATATTCGTATCAAATTAACTATTTAAAATTTCTTATTTTTTGCGTAATTTTTTAATTCAAATTTTTATTATAATTTAATTTAGGTATAATAACGAAATAATTTATATTTGGTTTAATAATATAATTTTCTTATAAAGATAATAATTAATTATTTTGTTAGAACTCGATAATTATTTTAATTATATTTTAGATTTTTTATATTTTAAAATAAGATGTTTATCCTCTATTTGATTATATTTATCCACAATTA